TTTGAGGAAGCGTAATTTAGGTCACCGACCTTTCGTTCTATACTTAGAACAAGTACGAATTTAGCGGATCGCAATCCGCTAATCCCAAGAGTAATTATTGCTTTAGCCCAAGGCTAATTATCTCTTCGGTTTAAATCAAAACCTGACTTTATTCTTTTTTATCTGCGGCAAAGCCGCCTAATTTTATATGTATAGATTTTCTAAAGAATACATAGTAAAATCTAAATATATGCATAACTACTGGCTACCAAGCCACGTACCGTGTTTTTATTTGGGTGCAGTCACACCATGCCCATCTCGTGTGACACGCACCCCTGTTACCAAGGTACGTGTAACCCCGATACACAGAGGATAAATATGAAAGCTACACCCAGGAGCTGATCAGAGAGCCTCTCAAGTTAACGAGAACTTAGTGTTGCTCTAGTACAAAAGCGAACAAAAGAGTAAGTTTTAGTTTGATTCGGGTTGATACAACAACAAATCTGTAGTGCACCTTGCGCAAAAGGAGCCTCGGCTCAAAATGTCTTCTGTAACCATCGCTCAGAGGTTGGGTTCGGACACTCCACCCAGGAATACAAATCAAGCATTCAGATAGGTTTCTTTGTTTCTTCAAAAGTGACAAAGAATTCGAAGCAATTAGTTTAAAGCTAAAACATGTAACAGTATCCGACAAAAAAGTATCTTTGCTGCTTCACGTACATCTAATAACCCACGGGTGCTACATTCTTCTTTCTCATTATCTTCATGATAGCCTGATACTTCTATATCGTCAAAATCTTAAATTTGACAAAAGAGATTTGTACAAATTCGTACATATACGGTTGGACGGACGTGTAGGCTGTATGTACAGTAACCTACGATACTTAGACCGTAACAACCTTCTTAACGGAGATGTTGACCACACCGGGGCATATGCTTTGTTCGCCTTTTGAGACATTGCGCGAAGGTTGACGTTCAACAAGAACTCAACCCGCGCCGAGCTTTATCCGACCTGCTGCACCCTACAGGGTATGCTCCTTATAGCATGAATGCTCTTCCTTTGATCACCACACATGATCCGACGAGGCTTCAAGATAGACGCGGTCCATAAGATTGACGTATAAACGACGAGAAGACCGAGGTTTTCTTCGATAGAAGCGACATCCCAAATTCCGACTTAACAGCTCCACCCTCACCTGAAGTTAAAGCCAGCCATAAATCGAGGGAGAGGTGCCTATATGACTGTACTGCACGAGGTAAGAACTCCGCGTCTTTCCCTGCGGGTAGAAGTGCTGCGGCACTCCGCCGAAAAGGTCACGAGAAGGTTATGCTCTGATCTATGAATACTAGCCTTCCTCTCCACAAGCACAACAGTCGCATGAACTGTTTCCGATTTCATTCGCAACAATATTCTGAAGCCATTACAGTCGCTCACCGTACTGAGTCGAAGCCCGTATGCGCCTGTGCGTTTGTTTCGTCCGCGCACACCAAATATAAAACAAATACCAGAAAGTCGCTTTAGAGAGCTGTCTCTGACCACACAGGTCATCACACCCAGGAGAACAAATTGTGCTCGATGCAAAATCAATTTAGAAATCCTGTCCATCTATAAAGTCTTACCTTGGGTACTATTTGCGTACTATGTAGAGTATCTATTGACAATTTCGAGCGCTGAATAAAACACTATTCCGCACTCTCGCCATCGGCACAAGCGTCATCCCACGCCTCTCTCAGCTTTAAAACGCGGCTTTGGTGAAGTGTACGTTCAGCTAAAGATCCAGTAAAGCTTGACGTTATGAGGTATAAAGCACACCCTTTGCTCATCGATCAACGCCGGTAGAGAACGCTCTCCCGCGACTAGCTCTCGTGAGCTATCGTGATTGTTGATGCACGCTAACTCTCTCTAAGAGTCTCGGCATACAATCAAAACGAAGACTGGTCGAATATCGTAACACGCTCTAAGAATTTGTCATCACATTCAGCTCCTTAGCGGTACTTAAACGTGTCGCTATTCCAGCGCAAAGACTTGCTTAGCTACAAGGCATGGTTAAAAGGCTACTCCCTCAATAACCGGGCGCTTTACATGCAAGTGACTCGTGAAAGTGGGATCTTGTTGTGGCTAAACACAGCCTATGGAGAATGAACGAAACGTCACAGACGGCATCAAATGGTCGATTCAGAATTGAAACAGCCAGCATAAGGGCACACGTGACGGTTTCTTTTACATTTTTGAACACCATAACGTTTGTCAGATCCCATCATCGTTTACGACGATTTGTGGGGAGACATATTGGCGTAATTTGCACTGTACTTACTTAAGTAATAAGTCAGACCAAATCATTTCCTTCAGTCACAGAAAAATTGGCCAATCCACAATGGCGTTGACGGTTCCAGGATCTACCCACAGGTCCATCTTCTTATGCGACATCTCAGATTTAAGACTTAGTCGATGCCAAATACACGTTTGTCTGCATTGGGGGACGATTTAATTAAGCAGAACTGCTTACAGCTGTTTGATAAAGATACCCACCGCCAATTTCCGATGCATTACTCAGTCGTCGAGAACACATCGTCAAAGTTGATGTACATATAGTTACAATGTATCCGGAACAGCGGTACACCAGACAAATCCACGCCGCATCTATATTAGATAGTCTCTGGAGCATAGGCAGCGCTTCTAACCCATTTCGCTTGACAATTTCTATAATCGCTTTATTCTGCACAATCGTGTCACGATGACACGTCGCCTTCATGAGTTTAAGATGGAGAGTGGCACTCGCATGGTGAAAAATCCGGACGCGTTTAACAAGCTGGCAGTGTGACTCCAGACGACGGGAGAGCCGACGGATGAATCAAGGTAGCTAGTGATACTTCTGAGCAGCTTGCCGGCGACATATGAGATGATTTCTTCTATCGTAGAGAACGCCAAGGACATAGATCAAAGTTATGGAATAGCTGTTGAAGGAGTCAGACAAGCTACAAAAGAAGTAAGCAAGTGAGAAAGTGTTTTGTACCACAGGCAACAATTGACGGATCCAGGGCAAACGAGGAAGTGGTCGCGAAAACCCCCTATTGATGAATTACGACAGATCCTTTAGTGAGGTTTTGAGAGGCAATTAAAAACATACAAATTTACCCTGTCTTTTTATTCATGAGTGAAAACAGTCTCTTCGAACAAACATTTTGGATTTCACTGAATCGCATGATGGGCGCGTCACACTGTATTTCAGACTCGGCGATACCTTTACATTATAACACGAGAGAACATCCTTAATACAGCCCAAATCCTTCCTTAATACTGGCGTCATATAGCCGTCTTTCTCAATCGGCTCATGTCCGTTAGATTACGGCACTACGCCAATCTGAATCTTTTCCACGGAAAAACACTGTGAGAACCCAGACGACCAGTTCCTTTACACGTCTCACCTCAACAAATCTTCGAGAAAGCTCAGCTTATAACTGTGTTTAATCGTCTAAACAGTTATACACTAACGAGACAGCGACATACTCTCGGTAATTTTGTCCCAGCAGGGATACACACCGAAAACTTCCTCTATTTTATCACATCCCGTTACTCTCTATCGCTTCTATCCTTCTGCGCAAGGCACTAAGCAATATCTCTGCTAGATGCTCCGGAAAATTCTACGTTCATTACAGAAGCCATCATATCTCCATGCCCGTGCCGAAAACTCTTCTGCACTATAACTTAATTGAGTTCATGTTCACCCAAATTCCAACGAGAAAAGAAGTGCGTGACACCGCAATTTTTTGCCTTTTAGCCAATCCGCGCTCGTGGTTTTTGTGCGACGTTGCACCTAGGATGAACCGTATCTTTACTCAATGAATATATATTCCGCCGTCAATGTCGTCAAACCTGATTAAACATAAGTTTCGTCATGAGCTTCGACATGTCCAAGTTGCAAGACGCACGGATATTCGACAGTCGCGCGTCATACGTAATTACATAATTTCGCAATGCTCAATCAATTCATTATCAGGTCCCAGAAAGCCCAGGATGTCGGTGTTTACAACCAGCTATATCGAGCTGTGGGCTCCCCTCTTTTATATATCTGGTCTTTTAAACAGAGGTCGCATTGCCCATGATCTTCACGAGGTACAATAGGAAATTGTATATTCATAGTACGTCGGTCTGTGTGTATTAAAACAATGATAGATCGTCTTATCTTTGCCCCTTTTCGGTCAAATCGAAACCACAATAGGTCAAATCATGTCGATTTTGGCGTCGGCTGTGCTTGATTCCAAGTAGATTTTATTGGATTCGAATGCATCTATGCGCTAAAGAATGGTTAGCATAAAAAGTCAGAGCAAGACTTGCAATAGAGTATTCTCCTGTTAAGTGTGGGATAGATATGTCATCCGTACCCATGCATGCGATGCATTGTAAGGCATAGCGACTTTGCCATCACATCAATAACGGAAAATGTATATATTGCTATCCTTCTACGTCTTGAATTACTTGGAGATAAAGTATGAGCCAGACTGGTGGCGGAACTGCTATCGCGTCGCGCGGACCAGGGGATAGCCCACGTCATGATGGCGCCATAGGTAAGACACATAATGTGCTTTATCATTGGAGACTTTCGAGACAAGGAAACTTTGAAGTCGAGTATTACTGCATGAAGTGTATAGTTACGTGT